CCCTGAATGTCCAGCTCCTCTCCTAGGCTGAGACATACTGTCGAAGCTATGTACCTGCCTAGTCACTGGGCCTCGTCCTCGTCTCTCTACAGCTTTCCAAATGTTCCTCACAGTGGAGGAGCCTCAGATTCCCCCACAGGAACCGTGGGAACAAGCGAAGATGCAGGAATTCTGCCTTCGACCTGATGGATGGTGGGAGAAAGACAACAAGCTCCTCTTGCCACAAAGGTTAGAGTGGAAAGTCGTGAAAGCCTTCCATGACGACACCCACCTTAGCCTTAAACCCTCCTTGACCCTGCTCACTCAGCAGTTCTGTGGGGCCAACTTAACTTCAACCATCGGGTCAGTAACTTCCCACTGTCTCACCTGTCAGACCAACAGTCCCCAAGGAGCGCTCAGAAGTCACCTTGCTCAACCTGTCCAGCGCAAGGGATCCTACCCTGGGGAAGACTGGCAGATGGATTTTACCCAGGTTCCTGCTGTCCAGGGATTTAAGTATCTTCTGGTGTTTATAGACACCTTTACTGGGTGGATTGAAGCATATCCCACCCACACTGAGAAGGCTCATGAAGTGGCTAAAAAACTACTTCAGGAAATAATTCCTAGATATTGGCTTCCCCAATCACTGCAGAGTGATAATGGACCTGCTTTCATCTCCCAAATCACTCAAGCAGTCTCCCAACACTTGGGAATAACCTATCGTCTCCACTGTGCCAGGAGACCTCAGTCCTCAGGGGGCAGGTAGAGGGAATTAATCAACACCTGAAGTTAACCTTCAGAAAGCTGACACAAGAAACTCAGATGAGCTGGAAAGATACACTACCCATAGCTCTGCTACGCCTTAGGATTGCCCCATGGCAATCTACGTGTTTGAGCCCCTATGAAGTTTTAAACGGGTGGCCTTTTCTTATAACAGAGCCAGCTATAGACTCTGAGGTAGCCTTAATACAGCAATATGCCACCCAAGTAGCCCAATGTCAGGAGGCATTCCATCAGTTTGGGCGCACTCAGACCCAAGGGGAGGAAAAGTTATCACCCTTGTGCGAGCTGGGAGATCTAGTTCTTATAAAAACTTGGAACGATGGGTCCCCTAATTCCCAGCTTCAGCCAGTTTGGAAGGGACCTTTGCCAGTAATTCTTTCTACGCCCACTGCTGTCAAAGTTCCAGGGCAGAGTGCTTGGATCCACCATACATGGGTGAAACCCTGGAAACCATCACCATCGGACCCCTCCGAGGCAGAGGTTGCAGACGAACACTCCTGTAAGCCACTGGACGGGCTTAGGATGGTATTTCATCGCCACTCCAGGACAGATGAAGGCTACACAGACAATTCTACCTCAGACCCCTCACAGCCTTTAGGCCAGTGAATGCCTTTATCCTGTTCCTGGGTTTACAGTGACCCAACTCTCATGCCTGTTAGTCCCAAGATTTCTATTGATTTCCTGTGACACTAACCTAACTTCAAGGGCACTGCCACCTTACAATCTTACCCTTGTCTCACTTAAACTGTTCACCTGTTGTCTGTTTTTCCAGAAGTTCTCAGGTTACCAAGGCCTCTGAACCAAGTGTGTCAGCTCCAGGACCACTGTCTCCTAAACCCACCTCGACCTTATCCATCCTGGGCCATGAATGGACAACCCTTTCTAACAGAGTAGGAAGGGTATGGACCCAAAACCCTACTTTGCCCCTTTTGTCAGCAGGAAGTAGCTAGAGATGTCGTGGCCCAGTATCCCAAATATTTGGGTCCATATCTCTTCAGGGGGGAATGTTAGGTAGGCTAGTGTAGGGCTGGGGGATGTCTGTTAATGCATGCCCAGAGGGCCAAGCTACTGAAACAAAGGAGTGGCACGCTGCACATGCTCAGAGGTTCAGGTTTCCACTGGGTAGGCATGGGTGGGCGCTGAACCTGGATTGGCCCACCTAGGCCAGGTGAATTCAATTCAGCCAGTGGGGTCGTCCACCACGCCTCCCTGTGAAATCATTGAAAAGGCAGGAGCCTGGAGTCGAGTGGCAGAACTTTGGCAGAACTTTGGGAAATTTTGCATGACTCTGTGAGCAGCTTCTAGGCAGGCTGCATGTTCAGGAGGAGTCCTATGGGTGCCTGTGTAAACCTGAAACTTCTTCTAATGCTCATAAAACTCACTTGGATCATGAACCAGGCTTCGGTGTGAATTCTCTCTCATGTGGAGCCAAGGACTGAGGTATAGATCTAGCTCCAGAGAGATCTAACAGAATGTAGTAGCTCTAGGGAAAGCTTAAACAGCCTTGACAAGGGTGAGGCCATTTTGAGCTGACAGAACCCACTGTGAATTATAAATGAACTAGCTATAAACTATAAATGAGCAAGCTGATATTAGGGAGGCAGGCTGTGCTGACAAGCGCAACGGACTGTACCAAACGAAATGTATGTTCAGAAGGCTTGGAAGAATGTTCAGAGCGATTATTGTTCAAATAAGAGCAGTTATTGTTTGACTAAGAACAGCTAACTGCAATATCCTGCTTCTGTACTCTGCTTGCTTGCGAACCTGCACTTCGCAACAGTATAAAAACCTTTAAAAAAGTAAATGGGGGACCGCTCAGTCTCCTCTCAAGAGAGCTATCGGTCCCTGCGCAGGAAATAAAACTTTTTCTTTTAAACTTGCCAGCGGTCTGGGTTGTTTTATTTCTGGGAATGGATACTAGGCTACAACAAAGCCACCACTTTGGAAAGTTAGAGATATAGTCCAAGTACATTTTCCTGTGTTAACTATCATTTCCACAGATTCTTCCATTAAAGCGGTGCTGCCTTAAAGTGAGCACATGGTTGATTCTGTCTCCCTATAGAAGCAGACATTCCAATTTGCTCTATCTCTTCCTGCTGTGGCATCCAACCCCTCTTATACCTTCCCCCAATACTAGTTGGGCATAGGGGGGCTTTATCGCCCAACCCTGGATTTAAAATGCTTGCCATAAGCCTGAATTTTTGGCTTGGCTGCATTAAAATTGTCATTAATTTTGCCTTGACAGCTTTCAATGTATAGAAAATAGCCCCTTTGCACCTGTAGCTTTTGTGAATTTAATACATAAAACAAAAGGGGGAATTGTGGGATACAGAAAGATTTCCCCCCAGGTTGTCTGCTACTTGCTAGCACACCATGGGCAGGTCAGCTGCTTAGAAACTTTCTCTCTGAGAACATTAGCCCTCCAGAGAGATCAGACTATTGTCTGTCCCACTGTGGGTGTGGCCCACACCCTGCTGATAAGGATAGAGATTGTTTCCCTGGAGGGCCCAGAGAAAAGGTCAAGCCCACTCAAGGACGACCAAAGTTAGACTGCCATCTTGAATCTAGGATCCGCCCATCTTGTCACATGTACCCCTAGCTTACCCCCTTCCTATTGTGTGTACACTCCTAGCTCAAACCCTTCCTGCCATGCATATGCCCATTAAACAACCCCTTCCTATTATGTATGTGGCTACCTGTAATCAGGGGGGTTTGCATGCCCCCTTAAGGATATATAAGCCTTGGTCAGAAATACATTCTCTCTCTCCTCCTCCCTCTCTCTGTGTGGATCTGGCTGCTTAGATCATGGTCATCCCGGAGATGAGCATGCTACCATGAAATGTGTCTTACTCCTTTGATTCTCTCTCCTATCTTCTATGACTTTACTATCATCTTTATATATTATCACCGTATAGTTGTGCCTATGAACCCTGAGATTGTTAGAGGCTGGTTTACTCTAACACATGCTAAGCTCCCAAGTTACTGACTGTTCGTGACTCACCCTGCTGCTTGCTGCTTATGGGCAGACTCTGCTTGCCTTGCCCTGGGAGTACTCTGCTGTCTGCTTCCTTGACCTTGGACCTGGCAACCCACATGAGTTGAATGACTTTCAGTATATTAACTGTTCCATGAAAGTGAGTTGAACTGAACCCTCTGTACTGCTGTGTAGACTAATTAGCTGTTATAGTCCTTCCAGCTGACCTACCCACATATATATAAAATCTTACGTGTCCTGGTCTCGTTTCCCTAGAGAATCCTGCCTAACAACCGCCCCCCAAAACCAAACTGAATGCTATTGAGTTGCTTCTGACCTGGTGATTTTCCTTGTAGGCCAGAGTAGAACTGTCCCGTAGGGTTTTCAAGGCTATGAGTCTTTTTGGAAATAGACAGTCACATCTTTCTACATTGGAGTGGCTGGTGGGTTTGAACTGCTGACCTTTGGGTTAGCTGCTGAGTGCTTTAGCCCCTGTGCAACCTATTTATTTCATGTATTGCCACCTCACTTTTTCTGTCTACACACTTGTCTCTCCTCATATGTTGTTGCTAGTGCACCAGCATTCTCTCTGCCCCACCCCCTCAGCCTATTCTTGGGGGGAGACACAGGGATACCATGAAGATGTAAGCCAAGCCATGCTACCTATGGTCCCTCCCCCTGCTCCCACACTCCCCAAACAGGGGCAAAGGGTATGCCCATCCCTCCAAAAAATTGTACAAGTATTCAAACTGTGTTTGGATTCCTTGTTTCCAGTTGCAGGCTTGCTAAATATTGGAGATGGACAATTCCTGGACTCAAAGCTGCTCTGATTCTACCTAGAAAATCTTAAGCAAGACTCAGAAGGATCCTACTGCTCATAAGTACCTTCAGTGTCCCAGAGCAAAGCCATAACATTCTTACTCCAGTTAGATGAGGCTTCATGCTCCTGTAAAGGATTACATTCTTGGAAACCCACAGGGGCAGTTCTACTCTGTCCTATAGAATTGGAATCAACTCAATGGCAGTGAGTTGAGTATGTATTAATAATACAAATGGAACTTTAGACAAATATTACAAAATGTTGACAGTAGTGAATGCAAAATCACAGGTCATGGCTGAGCATCATTTTATTCAGTTTCCAAATTATCTGCAGTTACATTGAAGTAAGTACGTACCTCCCTATCTCTGTCTTAGAACTGCCTAATCTGGGAAAAACAAGCAACTCAGAGACTAGCAAGTCAGTTTTATTTTATGCAGTGAAACATTTACACAACATGTGAAACTTCCAAGGTCAGTGCAGGTAAGAAATCAGCGCCCGTACTCAAGTAGCCAGTAGCCTAGGGCTCAGCACTCAGGGAAGGATGCACTGGTTAGGAAGGGGAAGTGGGTTAGACCTCAGCCCTCTCTTTCCAACCGACTCTTAGTAGAAAACCGAGACACAAGGCGCTGCATGGTCCGCACGGCCATGGCGAGCTGGTCCAGGCAGGAGATGATGGCGAGCCGGAGCTGTTCGGGGTCCTCAGCGGTCAGCCGGCTGTGGGCGAGAGAGAAAAAAATTCCAGTTACAGTGCAAATTCCCTGCCCCTCCCCCCAGAAGAATTCATTTCAAAGGACGGCACTGAATCTGCAGCTCCGGGAGAGGGACACATCTAATCGGAGCACACAAGAGCAGGAGAGAGTGGAACACATCCTGGCTCACCAGGCCTTGAGACGATGACCCCAATTACAGCAGCCAGTCCACAGAGAGAACCACATGGCCAGCCCCACTATGAAACATGATGCCCCTCAATGACCCATGGCCCTGGGGGGGACAGCACCGGAGACACAGTGTGAGAATTGCGCCCGATCTGATCCCGCCACACCAAAGCGAAGCACCGGGGGAGTACAGCAGAACAGCAAGGGAATGGAGCGGCAAGGTCCCCAGGGAATGCTGAAGGCAGACTTTGGGGCCAGGGCATGGTGCCCCAACCGACTGGACTGGAAAACACTCCTAAAGGCCAACGTATGATCCTTGAACTAACTACAAGCTTTTCTTTCTTGTTGTGTTTTGACTTGTTGTCAGTGGTATGTTGTTGTTGTTTTGTTGTATATGGTTGCTTGGTTTTGCTCTGTCTTGTTTTTGTGCATTTTATTATCTCTGCAGGTCTGTCTAAATAAGATCGTCTGGATGAACAATCTGGAGGAGAAAACAACGGGACCGACAGTTCCAGGGGGACATGGGATAGGGGGAGGTGGGGGAAAGGAAG